CGAAAGGGTGTATGGTCGCGTTTAGAACATTTCTAATATAAGTTCTTGAGCGCGCGTCACCCAGGCTCGCAACTCAATAACAGAAATAACGGAGCCCGAGCTCTACCGCCTAGCCTGACTCAGACCTGGGTCAAGGTGTGGCGGCGGGCTGATTTTGTCGAAAAAAAAAACAAGAACACTGTACCCTATCTTCTTAATACACAACAGAGTTTGCCTGTTGTTGGTGGATCACGGTCTGAGATTGAAAAATCGAAGCTGAAAAGAAAGGAATTTTCCTGCAAAAAGATGGCTGAATCGACGATTCCACGTAATGCGCCATTATTTTTTTTGAAACAAATGATTAACTCTGAACTTGAGAAGGGTCGAGTGCGAGAGACAGAGTTTTGAAACTGGCTAACAGTGATTTCAGTCTTGGAAATGCCGACAGCCTGCCAATCAAAGAGAGAAATGTGTTCCTGGGAACTGGTCTATCTGTTACAGAACCCTTATTCTACGTTAAGCAGGAGAACTCAAAACGAAATGCCATCAAACCCAAAACCTCTTCGAGGACGCCACTTAGGATTACTCCGAGAGTAACGGGTCTGACTAGGTCGACCAGCAGGATCACCGTTTTTACTAGACGACCCTAATACAAGAGGAAGCCCTCGCGACCAGTATGAACCTGGAAGCATAGCTTAGGGCCACCGTGTGGTTCCGCCTATAAACTGGTCACAGTCCATACGCGCTACTTGTCACGAGAGGACGCTATCCCTCGCCGACAAGAGACCCTATCTGATGTTGCCGAAGAGCGGGCAAAGATGTTCACCCTACAATCCAGCAATTGCAACATATAATTCGCGCGACAAGCCGCCTAACACACGCACAGACAGTCTCTAGTAAACTATAAATGACCACTCACTCTGGTAAAGTCATATTTGTTTTTCTTGATGATAATCGTTGACACCTAGGCAAGACTGCCGAAGGAAAAAAAACCAGTCAGACGCAACGCCTCTGCACTGGGAATAGAGTCAACGAAGGCGCTATATGAAGAGCTGAAGAGGACTCACGAAAAGTAGAACACCTTGGGGTGGATCGGGACCGGATACCACCTGACCAGACACACTCCTCACCCAATCAATCAACTGGGCATCGGTCTGGAGGTCAGACAGAGAGAGCATGCGTAGGTAGTCGCCGCCGATCTGCATCATCAGACCAGTGTACGCACAGTTCAGCTCCACTTCTGCGCCTGCGCAGATAGCGTTACTTGAGAGCCAGGTGAGAAGGCGGGTATTGCGCGGACAGTCGTTTAGTCTCTGCACCAGATCCTGCCGGGAGAGGTTGTGCGCGGCAGCCACAAGGTTAGCGACGCAAGTCGACTCTTCTTCCTGCTTCACACTGTAGGGAGTACACAGGAGAAAAGGTACCGGGGGTTAATGATACTCCGAGAGGAAGTGACACGGCTGACGCCAATGTCACACGCAGCTATCTGATAACACACTCAA